GGAATAATCTTTCTCTTTAGATGGCATTTCAATTAGACAAGACTATCAGAGCAGCTTTAATTGGCTCGCAGCAAGAAGCCTCCTTGGTGGAAATTAACCGCCATGAGTTGGGTAGGCCATGGTGAACGGCCTTCGCCAACCCATCATGGTGTCTGCGACAAATCCCTATGATCATATTCTTGTAGGAGAGACACATGTAAGGAACCAAGGCACCTGAGAGTGATGCTTAGCAGGCTGCGTTTGAATCCAGATTTGCCTTCTGACAGAAGCTCACATTGTGGCACTTTCCAGCCTCAGTTCATCATTTGTAAGCTAAAAAGCAAACCACAACTACACACCCCAGCTATTAGATATACACCAGACTGAAAAATGTCTAGCCTTGAATATTTCTGCTGTGGATACCTATTTGTTAAACCTGTTGTTGGCATGTGCCTTCAAGGCATTTCTGACTTATGGAGACCCTAAGGTGAACTTATCTTGATGTTTTCTTGCCCAGATTTATTCAAAAGGGGTTTACCTTTGCCTACCTTAGAGGATGAGACTGTGTGACTTCCCCAAGGTCACCCAGAGGGTTTCCATGGCCAAGCAGGGATTTGAACCCTGGTCTCCAGAGTCGCAGTCCAACACTGAGACTGCTACACCATTTTGGCTCAGGCTGTTAAACCTGACCACAGCTGATTGCCTGGATACAGTCCAGTGCAGTGCTGTATTCAATAAAGTACCCCTGAATGTCCACCATGGGACATTTGGACATTGCTAAGAAGCCTGGAGCAAACTCAGGGTCTACACTTGGTCCATGCAAAGCAGTGGTCAGGCCCACAGTCCTCAATATTGCCCTCTGTGTTATCAGCCAGCTGGATCAGGACCCCCCAAATTAGAGACCTCATTGCTGGCCTCAGCACACAGATGGGCAGCTGGGGTTGCCAACTGTAGAATAGTCTGAAGACCAGTGTCTTCAGGCTATTCTGCAGTTGGCTACCCTGGCTGCACATCGGTACCAACATGGCTGCAAGACTGGGAGACAGCAGACACCATTGAATAGACTTTCTTCCAAGCTCCAGAGTTTCAAGAGCACTACCTATCCCAAAAAACCACTACCCACCCCAAAAAACAGTCCCAACACACCTTGTACACACAAAGGTTAGGGGAAATCACAAGACCGCCCACTGATGCTGATTTTGTCAGTGATGCTTCAAGAGATCCTAACAAATCAATGAAAACCAATGGCTTGACGGAGTGAATTGCAACTTCCAGTTATGTCGATGTGCACAGATGTCATCTCCCACATGCTCTAACCATTGACAATGCTAGCTAGGGTTTCTGAGAAGTGAAGTCCAACAACTACAGGTCCACCTTTAAAGGACATCATTGGCCTTAATAGTTCTTGCAGGCCCCTGAGGACTCAGATAATATCCTCTGCCTTGTTGTTGTTGTTGTGTGTGCCTTCAAGCCATTCCTGACTTATGGCAACACTAAGGCAAACCTACCATGGGATTTTCTTGGCAAGATTTGTTCAGAGGAAGTTTGCCATTGCTTTCCCCTGAGGCTGAGAGAGTGTGACTTGCTCCAGGCCACCCAGTGGGTTTCAAACCACTATGCCATGTCCCAAAGGGAACAAGGCACTGAAGGCATACACCAGGGCAACTCACTTGTACAAGCAACCATGAGTTCTACATTATTAGTATTCCCAATCCTTGTTCCCAGACTTCCTGCAACAGGATGGCAGGAGGGCTGGCATGAAGCACAAGCTGCTGTCTTCTCCAACCTCTTTGGGTGGAAACTGGAGTCTTTCACCCCTGGTGTGCCTCTGGCCGCCCTATTAGCCCCGTTCAGTTTCCATAGGCTCTTTCATCGATCACTCGGCTGCGGATCATTGATCTGGCAAATGACAACAAGTCAGTTAATAAGCGCCTGTTTGGCGAGTGCATGAAACGAGAGAGTGAGCAAGAGAAGCAGTGTGCCCAAGCTGGCAAGAATAAGACTCTTGGGCATATGATCACTGTGGTGAAACAAGAGAATGTATATCCTGCACTCCTCTGCAACATCTGGGCTCAGCCAGCTAGACCTGGTATGCAAAATTAGCTGCAAAATGTGTCTTCTTGTGACTATGGCGATGATGATGAACTTCCAATTGGTTGGTTGTTGTTTTTTTGTCCTGAATTTAAAGGTACGCCTGGGACTGTTTCATTTCTTTTCTGTATGGATTTTGAGACCAATTTCAGATGCATTTCTTCCTGTTGTTCCATTTTTTTAAAAAAAACATAATCATATGAATTACCTTGATGGAGAAAAAGCAGAGATCATTCATGGGAAAAAGGAACTCTCCATGTGAAAGAGCAGTATAGCTGTGCAATCAATGTTGCTACACTAGTTCTAGCAAAACCTTTGGTGGGCTAGAGAAATTTGTTTTGGGGACCTGACTGGATGCTCTTGGCTTAGTTCAACCCACAGTTATCCATAGCAAATCATCAATTGTGCTCTCCTGGGCATTGTGGGTACCTTCCAAGCTATGATCTCCTCCAAGAATCAAGGAAAGAATGCCCAAAATCTCTGCCAAATCAAGCTGAAGGCTCTCGTAGTCCAGTGTCCTTTTGGGCAACCATGATCTCTAATCTCTGGGAAGCTCACAACCATAGTGCGATACCAATAGTCTTTTCCTGATGTTTCTCTCCAACATTTTGCATTCAGAGACATACAGCTATTGATGGAGTGCATCCTAAACCATATTTAAAGCCATCCAAACTAACAAGTACCCTATCTTCTGCCTTTCCTTAATCAACTGCTTGTAGATTTCACTAGATGACTCTGAGTGTTTGGCATTCCTAATGCATAGTGGTTTGAGCACTGGGCGACCGACCACTTTGGAGGCCAGAGTTCGAATCCCCACTTGACGACAAGTCCCACATTCTCAGCCTCAGAAAACTTAAGGTTGCCATAAATGAGAAATGCCATGAAGGCACACAGAAGCGGTAACAACAACCTATTAACCTCCAGTTGCACCAGCTTCTCTATCATTCCTTTCCAGCAAGGCCATTTTATAAACCTTGACCATGTCTTACTTGTTTTTTTGGAGAGCAAAAAGTTGAGTAACCCAAAATAGAGCTCAAAAGTGTTATTTAAAGACATGAAACCAGATGTAAGAGTTGTAAGAAGACATTCCACAAGGGAGGGTAGATAGCTTCACCACAGAAGTGCAACAGGTGAACATTTTATCACCACATCTCCAAAAAAAGTAGCAGCAAGTCTACTTCTGCTCAAGGTACAGATGTTTTAAGAAACAGAAGTCTTGCCCTGCCATCTCCTCCAAATGACAGCAGCCCTAAAACATGCCAATTACACAATAAGCACAAGAGTATTACTGCACAAAATTCAGCAACCAGAAAACATTATTTGTGTGGTGTTATTAAAAAAACACACACATAGAGAGAGATGTCTAGACCTTATGATCACAATGCAAAACTTGAAAAGATATTGGGGCAAGTCTCAAATCTCTAAGTAGAAAGGGCGACAACAGATGTGGGTTGGTTAAGGCATGGGGAGAGGCTATGGGGCTGCAACACAGTTCTTCCCATCCCATCATCACTCTACCAGCTCAGAATAAAAGCACTGCAAAGAAGGAATCGGGATACAAACTTAGTTCTTCGTTCACACAATGCATTCGGGCAGCAGAATTTCTTGGCAATTAAATAAAGCGAGTGCACCTTTGTCTAATGGAGAGCACACACAAGAATGCATCCACATAAAAGATGTAAATTTTGAAGACTGGTTGTGCAGAGAAGGCCAGACCTGGACTGCCCCCTTCTGTGAGGGCGGCTGCCGGAACAGATGCATGGCGGCTGAAGATGGGCCCTTGCCTTTCGTGCATGCTACGAGGTTCAGAAGTGCACCAAATACACTCTTCCTAAGCCCTCTCCAAAGCTCCTTGCTGGTTCAATGTGGGCACAATACGGTCCTTGAGGGGCTGGCGGCCCCTTTCCGACATCCTGGCGCTTTCTCATTCGCAGCACTCTTGTAGTGGGAGGCAGGAGACGACGCAGGAAAGGAACATACAGCAGAAGAGCAGATGGGCTCTCCAACAAAAGATCTTAGTTTTGTGCAAACATCTGCAGTAATAAATTTTTTAAAAAGCTGGAGGGGGGGTTGGAGGGAAGAGAGAAGAGGAAACCCAACAAAACGCACAAATCTCAAAAAGCGACAAGTAATCTCAAGGCGGAGGAAAAAAGAGCTACCAAGCAGAATGTCCTCCTTTTCTGAAAAAAGCACTGCTGGACCAACCTATAGACTGATCTGAGATCATTTTCGACATAGCATTTGACCTACACACTTTAGGTACACTGCCACAGGTGAACATTTTAAAATAAAGTCAGGAAATGCATTCAAGCCATGACGCAAAATACAACAAAATCCCAAATCCACACAAGCGTGATATCCTTATTGGGGCAACTAAAAAGCACAACATACACCCTGCACACGGTGGATAAATGAAGTCAGGTCCTCATAAATACCCAGCTGTGATCCTGGGGCTTTTCTGGAGGGATTGTGGACAGTGGACATCACTTGAATAACACACTATCCAAGGGAAAAGGGAGAGCGAGACTTTTCTGAGAGTGTGACAGGTTGCCATGTTGCACCCCTGAGAAACACACAACCAGGCCTGAAATGGCCAAAGGTTTGCCTTGGCTTCTTAGGAAGCTTTTTGAATGGTCTGGAAATAATAATCTTTCTCGCTAAGGTCTTGGATAATGGGCATTTGAGGTCAGAAAGGGAGGGACTCGGTTTAATAGGCTCGGGATCAGTGGCTGTTGAAATCTTGCCATTTGAATGTACGGCAGGAACAGGTTTTTCTTAAACTCATTCACACACACACACACACACACACACGACACAATCATTTTACAAGCCAACCCAGAAACGCTGGCAAACTCAACCTCTTTGTACGGAGGACAGAGGTTAGTTCTTCTTCCTGGAAAGGAGGAGAGGCTTCAAACTTCTGGGGATGGAGGATGAGTGGAGATGCCAACTATGCCATGGATATTCTCTAACCTCTTCTATTGCACACATTCATACACACACACACACACACACACACAATCCACTGGGGTCCTGCCTTTGA